TCTAGCTAATTAATATACTTTAAGAATCAGTTAAAATTTAATCTATCTTATTTATGGTTAATTGATATATATCAAGAATTAGCTAATATTTAACCTAACTTATTTATAGTTGATTAATATTTATTTATAATTAATATATATTAAAAATCAGCTAAAATATTTCAAAATTTAGAAAGAAATATAATTGATATTTATATTTTAAGTCAGATTAAAATACATTCAATTTATTTTTACAAATAGTATTTTTTTATTAATTAGATTAATAGTCAAATATTCTTTTGCATTTTATAAAATTAAAATTTAAAATTTAAAATTTACTGGTATAAATCAATCAAAAATATGATAAATTATTATAATACAATCATAATTTTTCAGATAAAAATCAGTATTCTATAATTTGATATTTTTTCACTAAATAATATAAAATTTTAAAGAATTTGCAAGTTGATATCAACAAATATATGCTAGAAAATAATTAGTTAATAATTTTTAAAATAGAGTTATTTATAAAGATAATTTATTTATATTGTTATAATAAATCATTAAATTAATTTTCTTTTTTAATAAGTACTTATTAAACAATTAAACAATTTTCTTTAAAATAATTTAAATTTAAATATAATAATTATAACTATTTTTGATAAGTTCATTTTGATTTAATATATTGATAAATTATTTTTGATTTACTTTAATATTTAATTGATTTAATGTATTGTCATCAGATTCATTTTTATTTATCTTAACCAGTGTTATTAAAGATTATAGAACTAGAACTGAAAACTTGAATTCTAATGTTCTGAATTCTAATATTCTATTAGTTTTTACTGGAATCTAATGGAATACTAAAATATTGAAAATATTAAAACATTGGAATATTAACTGGAATAATAAAATATCATTGAAATAACATTAAAACACTGGAACAGTAATAATAATTTTAATGATTTTAACCATACAACTAATCTTTATTTACTATTGAAAATTATTTAAAAATTGTAAACCAAGTTTAAACAAATAAAATAATTTCTATTTTACTTCTTTACTATCTGTAAAATTAACACAATGACCTAATAGCAAATGTAAAATATCAGAATTTTCTTCATAATTTTCCAAGCCATTTACTAATTCCTCATCATTATTTCTATCCTCTTTATTTAACATATCAAACTAAAAATTAACAAATTCATTTATTTTTAAATATTATTGAGAAGAATCATCTATTTTAATATCAGACATATCATCTATTTCATCAACATCTAATTCAGATGGTTCTAAATCATCTTTATCATAATTTTTAATTGGTAATGCAACTTGTGATAATTTTACAAATTTTTCATTTTTTTCTATATTTTTAAGTTATTTTATACAAAACATTTCAGCGTGAATCTGAATCATCTATAAAACTTTTTCATACTGTAAAATAAATTAAAGTAAAAATATATTTAATATAATAAAAATAAAATATTAACTAATAAATATATAACTTACACTTAATTTATTACGTCATTTTGTATGTAAAAATCCTATAGAAGAAAAAAGCCTTTCACATAAAGTGGAGTTTATACAAATTCCAAAAAGTTTACATATTATCTTAGATAATTCAGGTGCAGAATCTGATACTCATCAAAAATCTAAAGAGTCTGATATTAAATAATCTAACAAAATATCATTAAAAGGAGTAGTTTTATTTTTAAATGTTAATAATTCACAAACTATAGAAATAGAATGACTTTCAAACTAACGAATATAATAATATTAAATCTAAAGAGTAAGAGAACTGTGTGATAAATTATTAGCTGATAAAAAAAATAATCAGATTTATAAAGAGGATGAAGAAAAATGAAATCAAAAGTAAAGGTTATTTTCACGCTTTCCATCCTTTTCTAATTTTTGTTGCATTTGTAATTTAAAAGTTAAGTTTGAATTATAGATGCCTGCTGAAACCTCCTCAAAAAAATTTGTCATAACCTTTTCTATGTTTTTAATATAGTTTTAACTGTTTTAGTTTTTGTCATATTGAAAGGATTTCATCGTATCTCTTATTATAATTTTAATATAGTTTTGTCTAAGTTTTGACTGTTATTAAGAGGTTTCATCCCTTAACATTAGTTTGGATAATTTAGTGTACATTGTATAAAATAACCAAATGCATGTAACATTTCATATAATCTTGCTTTATTTTTCTGTAATATATTTAAAATTACACAATATAAATAAAGAACAGATTCTAAATTACCTAAATCTTTCCAAAAGTTTGAATTATCAAGAATTCTTAAGATTTCTTCTTTTAAAATTTTTGAAGTTAATTACGCTTCTATTGTATTATTATAGTCTATAGTAATATCACTAAATTCATTTATTGTCATTAAAGCCTATTTTTGTTAAATTTAAAATTTATTAATAAATGTCACGAGAACTATAATTATGTATTTAAAATATTTAAAAAAATTATAACTTACTCTTAATGCACTCTTGCTTTTTAATACAGATTGATAATAAAAATAATAACTATTCCAACACATTTTATCTGATTAGATTAATGCAATATATTGACTATAAGTACAAATTTGTTTATTTCTTAATTTTTCAGTAAAATAAGATGAAGAATTAAAATATGATATAATAGATGTGGCTTTTTTTAGAAGTTTCTAGAAATTTTGAAGAAGATTTAAGTGTATTTGCTACATAAAGATTAGTTTGATGTGTAAAATAAGGGATAAATATAATATCTTTATGAATACAACAAAATTGTTTTCTAAATATTTAAGAACTTTAATGTTAAATTTATTAAAAAATATTTAAAATTTAATAAAATCTAAATTATCTTACTGTTGTATAAGCTGAAGCTAAATCTGTAATAACAGCATTAATATTTATATTTTTTAATCGAGAACTTTGAATAAAATTACTAATTTGATTTACAGCTTCATTTGCATTACCACAATATTCACTAATATTTTGAGCATCCCCAAACTAATACTTACCTATTTGATCTATTTACAACAAGTCCTAATATATTTTGCTTTAATACATTTTTCTAACTATCTAATAATATAGTAATGCCTAATCTATAAGAAATTTGTATACAGAATTATATACAGAAATAATACAGTTTTGATATTCGTAAATAATGTATAATATATATGTATAAAAGATAAGGAAAAAAATAGAATTACAGATATATAAAAATACATAAATTAAATATATTATATATGTAATTCGTATATGCAAATTTACGTATATTATATATGTTTAATCAGTATATTTTATACGTAGTTTATATATGTAATTTTTATATAATTTATATATAATTTTATATAATTAATTTCTCGTAATATTACTAAATTTATAATTTATTAATATATAATTTAAAA